GATAATAATTTTGTCTTCTTTAAGACTTATCACATATTGCTATCACATTCTCTTAAGGGAATGCGAATGAAGCAAATTCAATGGGACGCATTTTCGCTTCTTGTGCTCACGATCATACATGACTTTGATCATGGCTAGACATAGAAATTTTACCACTTCGAGTGGTTATAATTTTTTGCTAACTCCATTAGAGTTATAATCAAAATTTATTTTCTTTTCTTGTATTTAAAATCAAATTATAGAATTTCAAGAATTTAAAAGAGAAAAATAAAGTAAAATACTTACCTTAAGTCCAAAATTTAATCACGAAAAAAGTTCATGGAACAATTGACAATCGTTATGCTCAATCCCAAAGCTTTTATTCAATTGGTTAGAGTCTCGTACTGATAACATGTTATAAAATAATAAATCATATTGCTCAATCCCAAAGCTTCTACTCAATTGGTTAGAGTTTCGTGCTGATAACGTGTTATAAAACAATAAAACAAGAAGAAGAGTATTGTAGAGAAAAGTAGGGAGAGATAAATTCTTATTGATTTTTGGAATTATTTACAATAAAATAGGATCTCTCTGTTTGTAGGAAAAAAATGACTTAGCCAGCAACTAAAATTCATGTGTCTAAACCATAAATAAAATTCTATTTATACGATGAAATTTGTATTTTAACTTCTTTTGTTCGTTTGTATAGTTAAAACCCTAAAACTCATTCTTTTCTCTCAACGAATTGAAACCCACTCCAGCCGTTAATCCTTTTCACATACGCGGGGGAAAAAAAACAAAGCATTTCAGAAGCTGATGGCCGGAAAAACAGGGTCTACGCCGGCGACATATTCGCCGTCTCCGGCGACGCGGAAGAAGAAGAGAACTCCCATTGGTGATGCTGATTGGGTTCGCCCCGATAATCGTAGCTTCTACCAGTGCCGTCCTGCTTGTACTCCTCTTTCTCTCTCTCTCTTTCACACACATGCACTCTTATCTCTGTGATTTTTTTTTCGCTGGTATCCTTTTCTGGATGATCTGTTAGTGGGATGTTAAATGAGTTTAAGTTTTAGAGGAAATATCTGATGACGAAATATGCACTTTCTATGTGTAACATGTATTTTCTACATTATGAATTATATTTCATAGAGCATTCAAGGGTGTGGACTAGTGGTCAATAGAGTGGGAGGAGAACCATGACTCAAGTTCAAACCCCTCTCGATGCCAAAAAAAGCACCGGGTGATTTCTTTCTCATCTGCCTACGGCTTGGTGTGTAGAGTTGCTCGGTACCTGTGATGTTGGGTGGTAGCAGATACCCGGTGGAATAGTCGAGATACATTTTAGATGGCCTGGACACCACCGTCAAAAAGAAAATACTCCATGGTTATAGGGAGAGCTTTGCTGGTTTTTTTGGGGGGGTTTGTTGTGGGGTGGGGTG